AAGTAGGTGCTTTAGACCACTGAGCCATCTCTCTAGCCCACAGATCTGTTTTTTTCCTTTCTTTCAGTTGTTTAATTAGTTTCTTACACACTTGGTCTTTTTAAATTTTTTTCTTTCTAATGTAAAATAAGATGCTATTTAATTTTATTCTTTCATAGCTAATTTTTTTTTTCATAGCTAATTTTTAATGTACATGCTTTAATGATTTTTCTTCCTTACAATAAGTTTTGGACAATTTCATTTTTATGTATCTGGATATGATTTTATTCAAATTTCTTGTGAAAAAGGTTTATTTTTCTTGAAAATGTGGTGTTATAAGTTCAACTAAATTCAGAAATTTTACATCTTTAAATATTTATGTGACTGGGGAGTTGGCTCAGTAGAATAAGTGCTTCCCTGGCAAGCGCAAGGGCCTGAGTTCAATTTCCAGTTCTGCAAAAAAAAAAAAAAATTATTGCCCACCTTTTTCTACTTTGAGAATTCTAATTATATGAATGTAAGTTTCTTGATTTTTTTTTTTTTTTTTTTCGGAACCGGGGATTGAACTCAGATCTTTGCGTTTGCCAGTCAAGCGCTTATCCTACTGAGCCATCTCCCCGGCCCCTAGTTTCTTGATTTTGACACAGAATGAACTATTACATGATTTTGACACAGTGAACTATTATATGACTGATCTGTAAATTCTTCATTTTTATTTTGGACAATTTTCATTGTTATATTCATTTAAGTTTGTAAATAATTTATTTACAATGTGCAATTATTAATCTCATGCCATGTATTCATTTCAGAAATATTAGTCTGAAAATCATTGTTTATATCTTATATCTTTCACATTTCAGTATTTGTCTACAATTTTTAATATGATACATAATATACTGATTTTCAGTAAAGTTAATGGAAAAAAAAGTCCATAAGCACACTGCTCTTGGTGTCATGCCTCGTATTCAGCTATCTCCCCAAAGCCTAATGGGCAAGGTTTTTCAGAGGCGGCAGGATCTAGGGCATGTGCTGCTGGAGTTAAGGGTGCCCCACCCTGAGTGTGAGTGCTGCCCATGGTAAGGGCGGGTGGCCTGGACACAATAGAAAGGGACAGAAGGAATCCTTCAACTGGCTCCTGCTGCTTGCTGCTGTACTGCCTTTGCCTGTCATGTACTGTTTCTCCTCTGCAGCTCCCCTCTGTCCTGCTTTGAAGCTAGCCAACTGTGAACTGAAACCTCTATAAATTGTGAGCCAACTAAACCTTTCCTCCTTTAACTTTGGGCATTGAGTATTTCTGCCTCAGCAATAAGAAACACAGTTAAGACACTTGGCAGACTGAAACATCTAATAGTCTGTTAGGTAAACTGAAAGAACTTCTGGCAAATGTTTAGAGACAAAAAGCTATTCTATGGTTGCTTCTGTTCATATCTAGCAACAGCAACCACGAGTACAAATGCCAATACATAGTGAATTTAGTTGTGCTCTGCTTAATGATTCAAGAGATTTTTCATAAAGACTGTATTACCTCCTGCCCCTGGGAGGGCAGCTCTAGCACCCCACCTTGTGTCACACAAGGTGAACAGGAGAAGCAGGAGTCTGTGTTAAAGGCTGCCAGTCTTTTTTTTTTTTTTGGTACTGCAGATCAAAATCAGGACCTTGTGCTTGCCAGGCAGGCACTTACACCGCTGAGCTATATCCCTGGGGATGGTGATACAGCTCAGTGTGAGGGCCTTGGGTTCAATCCCCAATACTGGGGAGAAGGGGGTTAAATACTACAAATGCTCTATAGCAAAAGAAGTCTCTAAGAGATGCTAAACAAGTGAGATGGGAACCAGAGGCATGATTTGAGCAAGGGGTTATTCTTCCACTCATCTACACAAAACAACAATCACAGAAAAACCCAAAATATATGATGAAGGAAAAATCTAGCTACAAGTATAAAGCATTTATCTTTCACCCACAGCCAGGCTGAAGAGAAAGAGAACACTTAAGAGTAACAAATGCTGGTCTTAGGTAGGACATACACTACAAGAGTGACTTAAAAGTACAGTATTCTCTTCCCTTTTGCGGCCATTGCTGGAGTTGCAGCGGCCAAAATGAAGTTTAATCCTTTTGTGACTTCAGACCAAAGCAAAAACCGTAAAAGGCATTTCAATGCGCCTTCCCACATTCGCAGGAAAATTATGTCTTCTCCTCTTTCCAAAGAGCTGAGACAAAAATACAATGTTCGCTCTATGCCCATCCGAAAGGATGATGAAGTTCAGGTTGTGCGAGGACACTATAAAGGTCAACAGATTGGCAAAGTAGTCCAGGTTTACAGGAAGAAGTATGTCATCTACATTGAACGGGTGCAGCGAGAAAAGGCAAATGGCACAACTGTCCACGTGGGCATTCACCCCAGTAAGGTGGTTATCACCAGGCTAAAACTGGACAAAGACCACAAAAAGATCCTGGAACGGAAAGCCAAGTATCGCCAAGTAGGAAAGGAAAAGGGCAAATACAAGGAAGAAACGATTGAGAAGATGCAGGATTAAAGTCCTCCTGTGTGTAACTTTTAATTAAAAATGCAAAAACGAAAAAAAAAAGTACAGTATTGTTACAGAAGCCATACTGTTAGAATTCTTTGTCAAGTAAGCAAGGGAGGTATAACGTCCAGATGACAAATAATGCCAGTTCTTCCTGAGAACATTCAGATGAACTCAAAAGTAATGTATCTTCTATTTTTATTCTTCAAACAATATAGACAACCCAACAATCTATAGGGTTGACAGTTCTGATTTTCATTATATATACACACACTCATCTACAACGTTAGATAGAATACACAGAAAGCAGACTTTAACCACACTATAATTTTAGGCAATACAGTATAATCCAAAGTAATCATATGACTTTGAGGATACAATTATTTTATTCAACAGGAACATAATGTACATACTTATGAGCAATCATTCATGAAATAATACATAAAATAGTTTTATAAGGAAAAGTTTTTAAAAACTTGGTATTATTTACTTACAAGCATGATAACTGTTGCAAGCAATCTTGTTGTTTCAAACATTTTCTTCAGCTGCTTCACAGGTCCCATTAAAAAGCACGTACTATTTAAAAACAAAAAACATCTGAGATGGCCATGCTAATTTTTCTGGCTATCGAAAACTAAACTGCTTGAAAAAAAAAAGACTTTATTTAATAAAAATCTCTCCCTGATGTGCTTTATTTTCCCTAAGTTTAAAAAGGCACTGCATCACATGCTATGGTTCAAACACACTGCTGAAGCGACAGCATGCACATACGAGGTGACCACGGGGATGCATGAGGCAGCTACAGGACTGCTGCCTTCTAAGTGAAATCAGGGCCTTGTGAATGAGGCATCTCTAGAAGTTGGTCCTCCACTCTCCCCACTGCAGGAAGAACCCTCACCAGAAAACCCGAGTCTTCATTTCTAACTTCCAGCCTACAGAATTGTAAGAGGCAAATATCCGCTTTAAATTGATTAACTACTCAGTCTGAGGTACTGTTAAAAGCTGCACAGATGGACTAAGACTATCTACATACCCAAAAATGCTGCAAAAGTCTCAAAAAGGATCTCAGTACACAAGCAACACAACTACTCAGTCACTGCCATATCACCATTTTAATTCTCTGCATTACATCAGTACAGTCCCATCTTTTTCTGGCTTGTTGTTCAACCATCTGTAAGCCTGCAAGGACCAGGTGCAACACCAACAAGCCTGGGCTCTGGAGCCCACTGCCTGCCTACAATTCCATACCAGTTGACTTCTGAGGACCACCACTGTGGGCAGGTGATTCACCCTCTGCATGAGCAGAGCCAGCTAACCCACAGGAATGAGATAGGCCCTTGCTCATAAACCTACTGTATCCAATATAAGGCACTGAGAAGACTACCTGGCATGTAGCACATGGTCCCCAAAAGGCTGTCTGCTCTCCACATTAGGGCTGTCTGTTATGGAAGGTGACATGTGTCAGGAGTCCATAGCATTTATGGAATAAACACAAATGCTGTGGCTGAATTTATAGTATGTGCAGCTATAGAAACACCATACTAGCAAAGCACATATTAGAAAGGTAAATGTGATAGAGCAAAAATTACATTTTGAGAAGCCAAACATACACACGTACCTGGCTAATGCTGCAAGATTTCCAAGGGTATAAAACACTGCAAAAAGCTTTATGCCACCAGGAAGCCACAGCAATCCGGTACCCTAAGGCATTACAGTTAGTTAAAAATAACTTCATGATCTTAAAGGCTGAAACTACAAATCTGGCACTACAGCAATAGTAATATAAATATTACATAATAAAGAGTTCAAAGCAAATGTGCTAGTATATAGTTTCTACATAGTTAAAACACTTTTCTGTGTTACATACCAATCTGAATCTTCTATCTGTATAAGTATACACAAATGTGCCATAACACAACTAACCTTATACCTGTCAATAAATCTCCCTCTATTAAAAATACTCATTTTAAATGGCTAGCTAAAAAATTAATAAACATGTCTAAATTATTGGCTCTCCAGTTCTTTTCTTTCTTTTTTTTTTTTTTTTGGCAGAACCGGGGATTGAACTCAGATCCTTGCGTTTGCCAGTCAAGCACTTATCCTACTGAGCCATCTCCCCGGCCCCTCCAGTTCTTAAGATACATTGATTTTACCTTAGTAAAATCAATTCAACAATTTGCGAAACTCTATGTTCTCTACATCTTTTTTTTTTTTTTTGGCAGAACTGGGAATCGAACTCAGGCAAGCGCTTATTCAACTGAGCTACCTCCCTAGCCCCTCTCTACATCTTTTTACTGATTTCTAATCCTTTATTTCAGATGACTAGTATGTTCCATCAAAACAGGGCTGGAGAGATGGCTCAGTGGTCTAAAGCACCTACTTGAAACAAGCTTGGCAAAGCACAGGGACCGCGGTTCGATCCCCCAGCACCACATGCCAGCCAGCCCCGCCCCCTGGTGGGCTGAGCTGGCCACACACACACACACACACACACACAAAATAAATAAATGTAATAAATAAAAATAAATAAATAATAAAAAAAACAGTCTAACCAGCATTTAGGTGAAGAAGACTACTTTTGATACTAGATGGGATTACTATCTTAACACAAAAAGTATTAAGCCGTCTACTCACAAGGATAGAAAAGAAAATGCCAGCCACGAAGCATATGACAAACCACTTCAATCTGGTGTTGAAACTAAGAGATGAAGCATCCAGGACCTTAGGAAGAGAGGGTCAATTTAGAAGGAAATTACCATGTGCTAATTTGTCTCTATACATTAAATAAGGCAGAGTTTCAACATGTACACTTAAGTGTTTATTTGTACATCGCAGCACCACACTGAGGTTGTAAGAGTAATTAGGATCAGGGTATTTTATCAAAGACACTGGGAATTTCACTAAGTTTGATAATAGTATTGCTGATGTTTCACAAAGTGATGTTTCTGTTCTAGACATAGATGCACATAGATCAGGATAAATGGCATAATGTAAGAGACACATGAAGAATGAAAAAATAGGGAACAGGTGAATAAGGCAGGCAACATGCTGGTAACTGCTGGAGTTGGGTGGAAACACACAAGAATCACCTTTATCCTCTTAAAATGCTATGAGCTGCAGAGCCTGAGATGCACAAAGCTCTCTCGGTAGAATTATCTGAAGTATAAGCAGCTGGACAAGGAAGAGAACGGTGCTAAGCAAAAATGTGGTTCCAACTGCTTTACCTGCTGGGGCAGGCCTGCAGGGAGATAAGTGCAGGGGAAGACCTGCCTCAGGTCTTCAGCGACTACTGGCTATAGCTGGGGTGCAGCGGGAGTGACTGCAGCCTGCAGGGGAACAGCAGGGCAGGAAGCTGCACCACTAAGAAAGGAGTCTGGGCAGGGGTCCTGCAGCACCGTATCCACATAGTACAATTAATGCCTTTCATTATAAAAACATTAAAAGTGGGTGTGGAGGCTCACACTGGGACACTGAGATAGGAAGATTACCAGTGCAAGCTTGGACAATTTGGGACTTGGTAAGAACCTGTCTCAAAATAAAAATAAAAAATAAAGGGCTGAGAATATAGTGCAGTGTGATGGTCCTGAGTTTAATACTCAAACAAACAAACAAAATATCCCCAAAACAAAAACAAAAAAGACAAGACAAAATTCATTTAAAGCCAGTTCACAACTGCACTAGGACCTCCTCAACCACTGAAAAAATAAACTGTTAAAACCATTATTTGAGGGGGCCAGGGAGATGGCTCAGTGGAATAAGCGCTTCCCCGGCAAGCGCAAGAGCCTGAGTTCTGAGTCCCCCCCCCAAAAAAAAAAAAAATTATTCAAAAAGAAAAATAAAACACAAAACATTATTTGGCTGGTGCAGTGGCACATACTTGTAATCCCAGCACTCAGGAGGCTGAGGCAAGAGGATTGCCATGAGTTCAAGACCAGCATAAACTACATAGTAAAGAACTGCAAAGTGATGCTCCGTCTCAAAAGAAACACATTATTATGAGCCATGCAAATTCCACCCAAATTATACAGGAAAATGTAAAATTACTATGTATTGAGTGAACAGAATGATAATCCAGCATACAGTGATGAGCAAGCATGCTATTAAAATTTAAATGTCTAACTTATACTACCATACACACCCATGGCTTGGATCTAGAATGTCCCCTAAAACTCTCATGTCCTCAGAGGTGGGACTTCTGAAGCATCAACTGTGGGGGCACTGCACTTCTTGGTGGGATGAATCCTCTGATGAGGTAAGGGGCTGAGTGTATTGTTAGGGAGGTGGGTCCTGGTGGGAGGGGGTGGGCCACTGGGCTCCCTAGCTCCTCCCTGGACTTTCACTCCTGAATGCCTTTACCTAGCTGGCCGTGAACTGCCACAGAGAGCCAAAATAAACCTCCCCTCCCTTAAGTTGTGGGTGCTGGATGTTTTGTCCTAACAGAGTAACTAAGACAATATTTAAAAGTAAGACTGCCTATTTGTGTTTTTGAAAATCATGAAACAAAGGCAGGAAATTTATATTAAGCAGCTCACAATACCTTTGGTTACACTCCTTACCTCAGCAGATAACCTCAGAATCCTTGTGCAGCATGAAAAACAAATAAAATAACTAAGTATTCTGTCAATTTAGCATATCTTAAACTTTTAAAAAATTTGCTTTAACTTCAGGTGTCATTTCCAGTAATATCACATGTTTATAGTAGCACTGATCACTTCGTTAGATAAATGAATTTAATCATAAAAACATCTAATTTTCATTATCTCTGATCAGGAAAAATATATCGGATACATTTTAACAAAGCAAAAAAAAAAAAAAAAGAATCCTAAAGACTGTCCCTTACTTAGTAAAGAATCTAATGAGTCACTAAAAAATAGAAATATTAGCTTAATTTTGCCATTCCACAATGTATGTATGTGTATATAAAAATATCCTGATATACAGGTAAATATATACAATTTCTATTTATCGTTTTAAGAAATGCAAACAGTATGCAAATCATGATTTCTAAAGGTTAATATGAGTCCGAAATCACATGAAAACTAATGGAGAAATGGAAAATGAATTATTTTATTTTTCTTCATGATTTTAAATCACATTATTCCTAAATTCAATGGATAGATCATTTTTAATGGCCAAATTATTTTCCACTCAGTAACAAGAGGATGGTTATCTGTACAGTAATCACTTTTTCCTCTTATTCCAATCTTCTGTGTGACAATCTTTAAAAATGTAGCCTAATTCTCATTTGTAAATTTGGACTAATTATTCCACAAGCAAATGACTTGTGTCCCAGTTACAAAAACAAATCAGGTTTCCCAACTCTTAACTGTGTAATGTTTCAACATGTAAGCAAACCTCTACATTTTCCAGGTAGGAGACAAAAGACTCCCTTTTGCCTAACCAACAGTTCTGCTTTGCATAAGCATTTCTGGGCTACTTTCCTTTTCAACAAACATAAGGAATAACCCCCACCAATGTGCTGATCTCTTAACATTTAGCCCTAGAAGAAAATACATGCACATTAACACTGTCAATTTATCCTTCTCAAAAAACTGTCACCATCTATCCCTTTCTAAGTAACAATGATGTATAACAACACAAAGAACTGTAGGCAAATAAGCATAAGCCATAACAATTCCAGGAGCACAGACTGCTGCCCAACTTGCTTGGGGTGGGGTGGGGGTTCACATGCTCAACAGTACCTTCCTCCTCAGTCACCTGCTCTCTGTTATTCTCTCTCACTCAGGACTCCTGATCACAGGTCCTACCCAAGTTCACCACATCCAATAGGATAGCCTGGCCTCTCTGTTCCTCGTCCCAAATCCCCAAAGGTCATACCCAAGGCTCTCTTACCACCTGAGATGCATCCATACCTAAAACCTAAGTTCTTGCTCAACAATTCCAATCTCCTCCCAGCAACAAGCTGATTGATTCATCAACTGTGACCTGACTGCTGCTTTACTGAGCCTCTTTCTCTAACCTATGGCCTTTTTCCTCTTTCTCAGTGGAAAATATATGGTACACAGCTTCCCCCGCCCCCCAGAACCGGGGATTGAACTCAGGACCTTGCACTTGCCAGGGAAGCACTTATTCCACTGAGCCATCTCCCTGGCCCCCATGGTACACAGCTTTGATAAAACATCCAAAATTCCTTTTTCCTGCAACAATCTGACAAATTCCCATGGTAAGGCAAACCATCCTTTCTCTGCTCTGAGCAGTCCCTCAGCTACGCAGTGCTTAGGGACTGTCCCAGGACAGCACTGGAGCATTGATAAGTGTCACCAACTTCAGTAAACCTGGGAATCTCTGCCTGGCCTCTAATATTTGGTATTTCTTTTTTTCTTTTAAAAAAGTCAACCTGTTTTCTAACCACTGACTAAATATCAAGCCTTGGATCCCTTCCCCAATATTTCACATCTCAGTGGGAATCCCTTACCACCTGCTATGACCAAACCACCACATTCACCTAGAGAAGCAGCCATGCCTGTTCTTCATTCTGGTTCTCAGGGTGGGGCTACTCCACCTATGAGCTCTGATCTACCTGCCCACCTGCACTAGGCCCTACCACACAGAGCTCCTTCAGTAATTTACATTATCAGATTTTTCCTCTGTTAGAGAACTATCTTCTGTGACCATGACCATCTACTTTTACATATGGTAAGCCTCTTCTACCCTAACAAAGATCTCACTTGTCCCCATTCAGCCTCCACACACTCATTCTTGATTAATTCCTTTATTAACTCATTTAACTAACATACTCTTATGGGCTTCTCTAAGGCTGGGTAAGACGAGATCGGGCGTGCTCAGGGTGGTATGGCCGTAGACTAAGGCTGGCTAAGAGGTCCATCTCCTGACTGAAAACCTATGTGCTGGTTACTCTCACTAAAACACCATAACAAGGCAGCTAATAAGCAATAGAAATTTATTCTCACTGCTGTTGATGCTGCACAATCAAAATCAAGGTTTCTGTAGATTTAAGCAGCTGTCAGACAGCATTTGCTGCTGGCTTCACTCATGGGAGCTAAGGGCCTCTTTTATAAGGGCACAAGTTGTGTTCCTAATCATTCTTCAAAGGCCTTACCTCTTAATACTCTCACCCTAGAAATCAGGATTCAAAATCTGACCTGGAGGTTGGGGGTCAACATTCAGACTATATAGTACTGGGTAAATGCTCAGCCTGACCATAAACAATAGCCAAGGCTACCCATTCATATCCCTGCAGTCCAGGCTTTAGCATTCAGCTGGCTTCAGCCTGCCCTTGCACCTTCACATAGTTTGTGCCTCCTTTCTTGGGTTATGTCTGAGGTGGCCAGAGGTTGCAACTTTAGCTTCATCCCTTACCTGACTGAAGACTGCAGACATAAAAGACCCTTTCCTGGCTTTCAGTCACAAGGTGCTTTTGTTGAGATGTGAGCCGCCTTTCCATTTGGACAGCACTCTTTGCAATTTGTTCCTGCAGCACTGTCTTGTTCTTTGTCCCTCTATAGCCTTGGCTCCTTCTCCCTGGAAAGATAATCCTCCTTTTCAAGCCTCCCCTTGTCCTGCTATCCTCATCTCTTAATGTGTCCCTGCTGGCTTGAACCACTGGTGGTAGGTACATCCATGACTCCCACTAGGCAGCTTGAATGAATTTAATCACTTTTACTGTCTTTTTGCTAATAAAATTAATAAAAACTCACCCAATGGGATAGTCACATATGTACCACCAGAGGTTCAAGCTG